GCTCGCGACATGCATCGCGCAGAAGCGCTGGGGACAGGCGTCGGCGGAATATTATGCTGGGTGGGATGGGGTGGGTGGGTGGGTGGGTGGGGTGGGGGGGCAGGAGTTGATGCGCGTCAGTTTGGGGCGCGCGTCGCGGGTTGGATGGGGGGGGGGCTCTGAACGCCCTTGCACGGCTGCATATTCTGCTTTTGGACGCATCAGGCACGGCGCTCGCAGGTTCCACGCGCGCGTGGCAGACAGTGCCCTGTGCTGGCGGTGTTGTGCACCCAGGGAAGACGCTGTCTACGCGCCCGGGGAATGTTCTGCTCTCGCCTCCCTCGGTCGAGAACGCGGCGAAATCAGGGATTCCCAGCGCCTCCTCGCCAATGCCAGGACCGGGGGGCGCACCTGCCCAATCGAGTGGTTCCGAGGGCGCCAGCCGGAGGAGTTCACGCGCGGCTATTTGAACGCTCGCCTGGCCAACGGCCGGATCCACGGCGCGGGCTGCCTCGCCGCGGTGCGGACTTCTTTTCGAGGTATCTGGGTAGTAGGCGCAGACGGCTCAGTGGGGAAATGCGCTGTTGATCCTCGGCTCCGGAGTGTTGGATGGGGATTGGTTTTCATGGGGCAGGGCCGCCAGGCTTCTGGCTCCCTCGTCGGGCCTGGGATCGCCGCGTCGCCTTTGAAGGGGGCTGCGGCCAACGCCGCCCTCGCTGACATCAGATCAGGGGCAGTCCGAAGTGATTTTTCATCGCAACCGCCGCTGCGGACGCAGCGGCCAACAGGGCTGCCGAGTCTTTCGCCTGCGAGAGGAGAATTATTCGGGCTTGGCTGGCATGTATCCATGACCTTTCTTAGAAGCTGGGCTTCGACCTCAAGCTCCAGAAGCGTCCCAAAGTGCCAGAACCCGAAGATTCCGTGTGTCCGAGATTGGCGCCCATGTGGTCAATATCCAAGGGGATATTTTTAACTGTACTAGGTGTGGGCGACATTCTCATAAGCCTAGGCCTGGGTGGGTGACAGGGGCTTGCCTGCCCAAGAAAACGGTTTGTGATCTGCACCCCTCCCACCACCACCTAGCATGTGTATGATCAGTGGGGTGATCTTTTGTACGAAGTGCGGTGGGTGGGCCTCCGAAGAAGCCAGGGATACGCTTAAAGGACAGCGTCGCGCCCCCACCATCACTGGGACCACTGCGTCCAAGGGGCGCTTGCAAGGGGCAGAAGCCAACGGGTCTCCTTGAATGGCCAGTAGGGCAACTTGCCAATTTGAGGGTGCAGGTTGCTTCCCGTTGTGGCTTGCCGCCCCATCACATCATATGATCGTGCTCATTTTGCGAAGGCCCGTGGCGCGCGGGGATCGCCCTTCAGTTGCTGGTACATGGTAATTGGTAACTGGAGGAGGAGGAGGAGGAGGAGGAGGAGGAGGAGGAGGAGGAGGAGGAGGAGGACGAGAGGAGGAGGAGGAAGGAGGAGGAGGAAAGGAGGAGGATAATGAGGAGGAGGAGGAAAGAGTAAGGAGGACGAGGAGGAGGAGGAGGACGAGGAGGAGGAGGAGAGGAGGAGGACGCGGAGGAGAGGAGGAGGAGGAGGAGGAGGAGGATGAGGAGGAGGAGGGTGGGGAGGAGGAGAAGGAGGAGAGGAGAGGGAGGAGGAGGAGGAGGAGGAGGAGGAGGGGGAGGAGGTGGAGGAGGAGGAGGAGGAGGGAGGAGAGGAGGAGGAGAGGAGGAGGAGGGAGGGAGGAGGAGGAGGAGAGGGAGGAGAGGAGGAGGAGGAGGTAGGAGGAGGAGGAGAAAGAGGAGGAGGAATATGAGGATGATGAGGAGGAGGAGAGAGGAAGAGGAGGAGGAGGAGGAGGAGGACGGGAGGAGGAGGAGGAGGAGGAGGAGATGGAGGAGGAGGAGGAGGAGGAGGAGAAGGACGAGGGGGATGAGAAGGAGGAGGAAGAGAAGGAGGAGGAGTGGGAGGAGTGGGAGGAGGAGGATGAGGAGGAGGAGGAGGAGGAAGGGAGGGAGGAAGAAAATGATGATGAAGAGGAGACGGATGATGATGATGATGATGATGATGATGATGATGATGATGATGGTGATAATGCTGATGATGATGCTGATGATGCTAATAATGAGGATGCTGATGATGATGCTGATGATGATGATGCTGATGCTGATGATGATGCTGATGATGATGATGAGATGATTGTGATGATGATGACGATGATGATGACGATGATGATGCTGATGATGATGATGGTGATGATGATGATGATGAGGATGCTGATGATGATGATGATGATGATGATGATCATCATGATGCTGATGCTGATGATGATGCTGATGATGATGGTGGTGATGATGATGATGATGATGATGATGATGATGATGATGTGTATGATGCTAATGATGATGATGATGCTGCTGATGATGATGATGATGATGATGATGATGACGATGGTGATGGTGATGCTGATGATGATGATGATGATGA